CAGTTTGTAAATATTTTAATTTTAATAAACTTAGATTTACTTCTAACGAGTTAATAATAAAAACAAAAAAGCAATATACGGCCCAATTCTTGTTTTGCGAAGCGCAGTTATCTAGCCAAATTGTTATTTCTTTAACATCACGGTGAAACAACAGGAATTTGTAGAAGGTTGATATTAGATCAGATTTACTTCTTCCAGCCACGCCTTCATGCCAAATAAGAGCGTCCGGCTTATTTGCAAGGGATTGCTTTCCCAAAGCAACAAAGCTTTCGTTAAAACAAATGATCCTTGGTGTAAAAATGATTTCTTTAAACATTTCACCGTGATTTCTTTAAATTCACTTTATTATACTAGTGATATAATAACCACCTTTTGCAAGTTTGCAGAAACAAATAATGATTCAGATCCTGCTTTTGTAGATACGTCATTTTTATATTCAGTTCTCGCTTCTATGGCATTTTCATAGCGACTTTTCCATTTTTGGCAATCATCGCAGTCGGGATCAGTATTTTCTATATCATCAAGTTTTTGGAGTGAAGGTTGAATGTTTCGCATTGCCAGCACTACTCATGACCGAGCACAGTAAACGAGATATTCATCTCAGCTACTTGTTGGCGGTAAAATTCGTATGAAACTTTCATTTCGGGGTACTATTGTAGAAAATCTGCATGCATTAATTTAATGTTAATATCACTTGGCACATATTTTCGATTCGGGGCGTGTTTCCTTCTATAATGTGATATGCTTGGATTAAAAGAATTAATATGAGAAACTACGTGTTCTCTGTTAATTTTTTTCTGAGATGGATGCCCTGTCATTAATGATTTGAAAACATATATTTTGAATCAGTTTGATTCAGAACATCTCTAACTATTCTACCGTTATGGACTTGATAGCCCAAAACTGGCAAAAAATGTTTTGCAAACTCTTACATCATTCCCTGTATTAGCTTTTAAATAGTAATTAATTCTATTACTTCGCCTGGAGTCTCCATCTTCAGTTTTCCTTTTTATCAATTTTTCTTAACGCGGTAAAGATAAATTGAGAACTGAACAACAGCGTTCATGGGTTCCCAGAGTTCTTTATTTAAGCATTTTGTCTCCATATGTCAATTGCTTGGGTGCATTTTTTTGCACAATTTTCCTTACATGTTTTTTGCACGTCATGCTGTGCAATTTTTCCCTCTCTTTTCAGTTTCTGACATGTAATGATTTGCAGTAACTTTTCCTTCTTTTGTGAATTTTCGTGATTGATTTGGCAATTCAGACTTCACAGTAAAATCTGGATCGTGTGAATCATCAATAGAATTTTGGTTTAGTCTGCCATGCAAATTATTATCTCTATTTGTGGACATTTTTTGAGCTAATTCCTTGTTTAGGGCCAGTAAAACAAACATTCGAATGTGAAATAGTTAAATATAAGATACTTGCCTTGTTCGCTATATCAACATAATATTAAAATACCATAATCAACAAAATATCTCTAATCACACTTGCATATACGTCATACGGCAAAAAGACTTAATAATTATTATCAATATGATTTTTTGGTCATTACGACTTAGTACAGATACCAAGCCAAAATGTCGTAATTGAAATATTTTTAATCAGATACGACAATATGACTTGGTAATTATCAATACAACTTTTTGACCTGGTAACTGGTAGATTTTTACAGATAGGACATCTAAATATCATTAAAAAACCGTATTCTAAAGATGATACGATTCCAGACCTTGTCTGAGAGGTAAAGCAAACTCTGTTATACCGCATAAGCTGAAAAAGTGAAAAATTGCAGATACGACTTCTTGTCTTAGCAGGGCAGCATTGTGCAAACATGTTAGCAGTCTGGTATTCTAATCAGGTTGTCCTCCCCCCCCTTATATCTAACTGGCAAAGGCAAAAATAAGAACATTAGGACTGTGTTTCCATGATGGCGCCCGAAGATGACCTGAATTATGCATGAATTTGTATTATTTGCCGAGCGGGCAGCGTTAATATCTGACCGCTTCGACGGGATTATGCATATTACGTCCAGGAAGACTGGCTGATGGATAAACGTGATGGAAGATCACGTGAATGCTGTGTTAGTCCCGACTGGGGAATCCGTTTACTTGCAAGCCATGGACGGGTTGTTCTAATTCTTCGATAGAAAGACGCTGCCATTTGAGTCTGCTACGGTAGGAAACTTTGTTGAAAACATTACTCCCTTTTTCTCCGAGAACGATTTTATATCAATACCTACAGATATAAAATAAGGAAACTTGGTAGTTGGGGTTTCTTTGTGTTCAGTTATTATTTAGTTCAGTGTTCAATGCTGAAAACCATTTACAGCTTTCTGCGTATTTCGTGTGGGTCTTTGTATGAAAATATATAGGGTACTCGATAAAAACGACTGGTGTGAATTTTCGAAAGACGATCATCAAAAGCATAAAAACCAGAGGTTGGGAAAACCTCAACTTTGCCAGTACTTACATCAGCACGTACATTAGTTGCATTAACAGGAGAAGACTAAAACAATTAAATGGATCACCCTGTATCCAAGGCGGCATATCTGCTATACACAGTGGACCAAAGAGCCCTAACGTTTACCTTGTAGAAGGATTAATGGGGCGGAGGTACTGCTGCCATTGGTCGGATGAGTGGCAAGGTTAGCCAATTCAAAGTGCACCTGTTAGCGCCGCCACTGCCTTAAATACCCTCTAATTCTGTTCTAATTTAGCGCAAGGGAGACGTTTTAATCAATAGCCTACATATAGAGTTCTATTAGAGGCTGCTGCAGACCACCGCTCTCTCTATTTTAAGATGACCGTCTCAGACCGTTCGCCCGTAGCCCCTTTTAAACTCCCCCGGCCTCAAAGGGAACGGCGCTTTCGCCCCTTTTCTCTTAATGCAGCCGCTGCCCACGGCTAATGTGGGGTACTCGATAAATATAATCAGATTCGATATCGAGGAAAATCTTATTACGTGCTACGTCTTACAGTGGCAGGCGAAAGAAGTTTTAACCGCGGATTAATCATGGTTTCGGTTAGCGGGAACAAGTCCGTTTTCCGGCCGATGGACCAGCAGGAGCTCTAAATATTTGAATACTCGTATTCGGGGCCCGTCTGTAAATTGTACATGATTGGCAAGGATAACATAGCCTGTAATTTACAACTGGACAAATAGCGTCTAATTCAGTTCTAATTAAATACACGAACGGACGCGATAGATGGACGGCCGGACTGACAGAACAATCGATTACCGAAGAATCGCCGGGCTTCCAGTAATTAGTTAAGGGACCAACGAGTAAGTCAATCAAGGGAAAAGAAACAACGGCGAATTGGAAAGTAAACTTCTCCCATTGGAATTCGGAAGGCAAACAGTGATGTTCTAATGAGCAGGTCAAGCCTACAAGAATGGTTACTTTTGAAACAGACAATTTGTTTAAGGAAGTTGCAACATTCAAATATTCCATTGGCAATTTCACTCTCACAATCTCCTCAAACTGCCGCTCCCTCGAAATAGCGATAGTTTCCCTTCGCATTCTTAAAATTTAATTACTGGCTGCTATTTTCATGCAAAACACTTCAACTTTTAATCGGCGACCCGGTGGAAAAAAACAATCCAGTGGCAGCTAACAATTAAGGCGTTCCTTAATGCACCGCTTTCCCCTGTATTGTTTCTGTTTCAAGGGTCAAGTCATTCTGGTCTGCGGTCCGAAAGAGTCTTGCAGTGTTGTCGTGATCGAAGCAATTTAATTAGAATTAACAACAAATTAGAGTAGTTGTTGCTCAAGGCGATTGTTGCTTGTTGGACTTTTAATTCATAAAAATGTGCAATTCTGCCAAATAATGGACAAGGCGTGGCTTTGCCGATGATACATGAGTAGGGCACCAGGGCATACTTCGAGCACCTCTTGTGACTTAAGAACTTATTTAAAAATAGATCATTGATTCACAACTTTTTATCTGCTGACATCCGTTACCCTAACCTATTGCATTGCATTTCAACCTCACTTTCTGTGATTATCTATGGATACTTGAGCTTTTGATATTCAAGAAGCAACAGATATTTACGTAATGTTAATTAGGCAGATTACCTTGAAAAACATTGTTGCCATCCTTCTGATATAGTTTTTTCCAAAAAACTCAGTTGTTGACAAGAATTAATGTATTAACTATTTTTCTGTAGTCCCCAGACAACACC